ATTATTTTCTAAGTGTGGGCCTGGAAGGCTGTGTTTGTTGTGTTCCAGTAACATTGACGAAGATGGATGATTTTCCCTCCACAATGGCACAGTGGCTTAAACGCAATTACTGCCTTTATGGGAAAAAAAAAAAAAGGCCAGACATCAGAAACCTCAAAACCAAAACACTTTGCTTTTTAATGATTCCAAATGATCTAAACATGCACTGGAATGAAAATCACTCAATTGGCCCTCTGCTCTACTTGGAGTGCTTTATAGAATTCAACTCATACTTTGTTCACACATTCTTTGAAATGAACAATAAATCTCTAAAATTGTAAAAAGTTTTCATTTCATAAAATCTGATGATTCACCTTCTCTGTGTCTGTGTGTGTTTATCTCTTCAGGGTATAAGATTTTCAGCACAAGTTTCATGATTTAGCTTTTCCCATTTAGGCAGGTGGGTTTTGATGGTGAAAAACATTTGTTACTTGATTATCTTGGTAGGTTGACATGGTATGGTTTAAAAAATAGTGAATTTATTCTGGGATAAGAAAATATTTTGAGCTATAACATAATAAATGTATCCTTTCAATTACTCTTACCTCCAGCATATGATATTAAGCATAATTTCTAGATTTCTTTCACAAGCTATAGCCATCCAGAGTCACTGATTAAAATGGTCATTTTTATTTATCCACTGAAAAAGCAAGAAAGGGTGTGGGTTTTATGTGCAAAATGGTACAACGGCTTCGCCTCCCTGGCTGAGGACGGTAGAGGGCTAGAAACAATTTTGTCCTTTAAGGTAAAGATGTGAAAGCGAACTCAACCATCAACTGCCTAAAACATTTTCCCAATTGGACACTTAGCAGTGGCTAACTGAAATTAGAAAATTTGAAATTAGAAAAACTGGTGAAGAATGCCAAAAAGCAATCAAAGCCATTTGATGACATGAACATGGCTGAATAGTTCTGAACTCCCTTCTACAATTGAACTTGATTCCTGCTTGAGTCATATCTCTTTTCACCAACCAGACTGAAGAGGGCTGATCAAAGCACGAAATACATGCTCAATAAATGTCTTTGGTAAGTAATTTCAGAGAAAAGGTTGTGATTATCTCCTCACCTCCAAAGTCTGTCTCGACCACTTCTTTTATGTCCCAAATTGTTCTGGAGCTGCTGGGTAGTCAATCTGAGCCATGATGACATGGCTCAGAGTCAACCAGGGTCCTATTTGACAGAGGCCATAAAATTGCAGATTTTAGGAAAAGATTTACATTCCATTTGCACATGAAAAAGGAGAGAGGATCTGGAAATTGGAAAGCCAGGAAGATGAATAATAAGTTTCTTCCTCTTCCCAAGTCACAAATAAAACTGCATTTTTGAACACACAAGCCTAAACAAAATGGGAATGTCTTCAGATTAATGTCAGTTGTGGTGAATTTATTGACAACGCCCTGCTTTCCCCCCCAATATTAATGTACCGCTTTAATGTCTTCTAATTTTATTTTGATAATAGCACATGTTATTTTCATACTCAGAAACACATGCACACGGAAAGATTCAGAGTGAGCACTTTGGTTTCTAGCTTTACAGAGTTTCCTCAGCATACTCTCTCTTCTCCCCACATCACTGATGTGTTTTGTGACTACTGAGGCAGAAGAGTGGTCAGGGTATTTCAATGACATTTATTCATAGACATTTAGTCCAACATGTCCTGCCAGACCCACCTCAACTTTGCCACAGCAGCTGCTCTGGGGAGGAGCCCTTCCACTGGGTCCTCCTCCTTCTGGCCGCTAGGGTGGGATCTTCGGACCCGGTCCCCAGCCCCCGGGCCTCATTCTGCCTTCCAACCTCTGGTCCGCTCAAGGTCGAAGTGCTCCATCCAGGCAGGAGGACCTGACATTTCCTCAGCCCCCGGCTCTCATCATCACTCAGGGAAGTGTGTTCCAGAACACCAGGGGGCTCTTCCCCAAAGGGGAAGGGTAGTTGGGTTACGGGGTGACAGGCAAATGTCACCCTCTTCTAATGACCTCATTTCAATTCATTAAATCACTGTAGCACATTAGGATAAACATGGCAGCCAATTCTGGTGTCCCAGAAAAATTGCCTTCCCCTGTGAAACCAGTCTTTTGGCTACTGGGAGAGGCAAGGAACCTCTCACACTCCCAAGAACAAAAAGATAGTAACAGCCTTAGCTAGCATTTAGCTCGTGTCTGCGGCATGTGGAGCAGTGTGCTAGGCATTTTGTACCCACGATCCATGTTAATCCATACACAAGCTCCTAGAAGAAAGGACAGCCTGGTAGAGGGGAGCATGACCTAGTGTCAGAAGCCCTGGGTTCAAATCCAGGTTCTGCTGCTCCTGAGCTGTGTTACTGTGGGTAGGTTGCTGAACGTCCCCGTGCTTTAGGATCTCAGCCTGTAAGGTGAGATGATGAGTAGTAAAGAAGCAAGTTTAGGACAGCACGTGGGACTTGATGAATGTTCAAAATGGCTTCAATTATGATCACTACTGTTTTCCTCATTTTACAGATGAGGAAACTGGGGTTTAAAAGATATGTAATTTGCTCTAACTCACAGAGCTAATCCAGGTCTGATGTTAAGAGGTCAAGAGACTTGTCCTCAGCCACGAGCAGTCAGCAGAAGATCAAGGAGCAGCAACAATGCGCCCAATTCCTAAGTGAGGTGTTTGCCTCACACTCACACATCACAGGCAACAGAGAGTGTGGGCCACTGAGCTGAATTTCTACAGCATCTACATATATCTTAGATATTGCTTTCCGACACAGAAATTGTCACATCTAGGAGTATACTTGCATAAAAGGCCTGATACACAGTTTGGTGCCTTATGTACAATAAAAGGAGCTTGCCTTTGTCCTCCGAGACAAAAGCACTAGGCTGGGCTGCCGGCATGGTGGGTGCTGGCCTTGGAGAGGAAAAAGCCTTGTGTGTTGAGAAGAGCCACTCACCTGGTCCATTCGAGAAGAACGAAGCTCGTATCTCACCACACCTGACTTGTGGCACTTCCCAGGCTGTGCTTCCAGACCAGCCTGCCCCTATCTCCACAGGAAAGACCAACAGTTGGGCCCAAGGCTCCTGGTCCCAGACACCCCTTTGCAGGTCCCTTACAGCCCTGAGCCCCAATCTAACACCTCACTTGCCCCAGCGACCACCTGCCATTGCTAATACATTTCTTCGACACTTTGCCTCTTGGTTTTTAAAGTGGAAGGAATAATGAGAGGAAAAATAAAACCTTAAAATAATTGGATTTTAATCAATCAAGACTTTTATTGCCTGCCCCAGAGCCTTATAACTAGTTTGGGGTTTTAGTTCCTGTTTATAAGTGTGTTGTATTATAAAAGCGGTTTGTTTTCATAGGAAAAGGTATTACAAACAGTGTTCAGATTACCAGGCTAGCCCGCTGTGGTAGACTGTTCTGTTGTTCCAATTATTCAGGGCCTCCTCTCTGTGGGATGACTGACTGTCCTTCCCCACCCCACTGACATCAGGTTTGCTAATGTGACTTTCTTTAGTCAATGAGATGTGAGCATAAGTGACACATGGCACATCTGAGCACAACTTCAAAAAAGTCATCATGTGGTTCTACCCTCACTTCTTTTTCCTCTGTAGTAAATACAGCCACTGCCCAAGAGAGGGGCTGCCCTTTGACCTTGGGTCCTGGAATGAAGGAGAGATGGAGAGCAGACCCACAGCCACCCCACAGCCCATACACAGTATAAGGGAGAACTCGACTTTGTTATTGTGAGTCATTGAGATTTGGGAGTTATTTGTTACGGCAGCATAACTAGTGGATGCTGGCTACCATATTCACTACAGCTTAGTAGACCAGATTCATCTAAAATCATATATATTTGCAATGAAAACTAGTGGAAACTCATGCTTGAACTGATCACCATCTAAAAAAGTGGGTTTTGTTTTGTTTTGTTTTGTTTTAAAGAACAAGGGTTAGAGCCAAGGCATCTTTATAGGGCTGATATCACTCTTGTCATTATTCAAAATGCAAACTGAGCCTGGGCAGGGTTTGATGCCTTTGGACACATTAAGTTCCTCACAGAATTTAGTTTTCAGCCTAATTTATTTTTTCTTCCTCCAGAGTGCATCTGTAAACTAGAGAATTCATACTTCTTTATCAGTGCTATGCTCAGAGCTTTTGCTAGCCTCATGATCTGCTTCCTTAAATGCATCCCAAAGACAGTTGCAAGGCAAAAGCCAAATTCAACTTTGCTACATCACATAGGAGAGAAATGGCATGAAGGTTAAAGGCAGACATGTGGTTCACTCTTACTATGTCTCTAAATTTGACTTTGGAGTGTTTTTATTCCTTACAATGTAAAGCCACAGCCAAATCATCGATCAAATCTATGTACACAATGTTTAAGAATGGAAAAAGCAAGAATTAGTTATATTCAAGAAGACCATTTGGGAACCTAGACTTTTAGAAAATGAAATCACATATCACAGTCATTCACATTCCTAGGATGCAAAAGAAAAAAAATATATATCAAAAGGCTTGAATGTTTATCCATTTAAATAAAAAGGTATGTGGATGGTGGTGGTGGTAGAACGCTAGTGAAGTTTAAAACAGATGGTTCTGGATACAGATTAAATACACACACATACAGATTTATGTGTATACGTATAACTATACTATGCTAAATAATGTATATAATTTTACATATTAAATCATATGTAAAATATGACATATCCTGCAGAATTTACTCCTGCGCCTCCGCTTTGGGTTTCCTTTTAAATCTGTCTTCGTGATAAAAGGATTCCTTTTCATTTATTAGACACAGAGTTTGAAGTTGCTTAGAGTTTTCTGACAATTGTGTCATGCTGTGCTCACTACAAAGTGTTTGGTTTGAAAACCAGCACAGGTGAAATGGTCATTGCCTGGGCAAAGGAGCGCATCGGCTGGGCTTAACAGGATGAAGACAAGCGAGGGGCCACCCTGCAGAGCCACCCAGCCCTGCCCAGCTGCACGGACATCAGGACTCACCAGATTCTGCGTAAACACGGAAATATCCTCTGTGCTGTTGTCAGAATTGACTCGCACCAGCCTCCCGAGCCTAGGGGAACTTATAACCGTAAACGTTACAGTTCTGTTTCCTATGCTGTCCGCATCACTGGTCACAGCTCTCAGGTCACCAGATGAAAGGGGCTTCATGGAACCTAAGTGAAGATTAAAACAGGCACTGAAGTATGAAGCATAGGAAGGCTGCCAGTTAACAAAATGACCTTTATAGACCCCTGAAAATTCTGGAAAATACATGGTCACATGGGGGGTACTGGCTGGCAAGAAATTGTGCTGTGAGAGGCTAGTGATCTCCACAACATCTATTTAAGGATGTGATTTGCTCCTGGGGCTGGAGATGAACGAGGAAAACCCGATGAGATGAGCTCCTCAGTCCCTGCCAGTCCTGCGTGGCTTACTGATCCCCAGAGAAAAGATGCAAGGCCAGTGTGTGGGGGCTTGGCTCAGAGTGCAGGAAGGGGAGCTGGCTGGGTGCCCCGAGAGAACAAGAGACAACGCCCTCCCCACCCCAGGAGGACAGACTGCACCCTGGCCTGATGGTAGCTGCAGGTGCTCAATGGAGTGTCCCTCTGTGGACATTTGGGGGAGAAGTTGGCTCTTGAACGAACTTGAGACATCTCCAGAGGACCCCAGACAGGCAGGAGGAAGAACTGGGAACACACAAGTGTTTGTGCTAATTTGACCAAATGTGGCAACTCAGAGCTAGAGAGCCTTGGGGACATTCAGGTTAGAGCACATGGTTCTCAAACAGTCTGTGGTGAAGGAGCAGTGTTTTTCCCCTCCCCCAACCACCCCTCTAATTTTATAAAATACAATGAAATGCCCAGCCATGTCAGATTGGTATAAAAAATTCTAAATACTTTCTATTCTTACCAGTTCACAGACTAGAAGATCCGTGAACCACAGTTTGGGGGCACAGAGTTGGAGTACATATCCCTTTAGTTCACTTGGATTTGGGGAATGTCCCCAGGCAGAGAGAGTGACAGGTCTGGAAGAGATTCTCATAGTCCTCCTGGCCCAGAATCTCACCTTATCTATTCTGTTTTAGCCCTGGCTAAGGGCTTTAGCCTTTTGCCTCACACAGGGTAGCCCTTGGAGTAGTCATCTGATAAACTGTTTATGAAGTTGCGTCAACCACCCCATAATAACTAAGCCTCCTGAACGACATTTGTTTTGGTTTACTTACTGAGCATCGTGGCCTTAGAAAGCAAGGGCCACCAATTACAGTGTTTAAACCATATCAGGCTCTTAAAAGCGGGAACAGACTACAGCTAACACGAGGGGAAGCCAGCTTTGGATAAGATTTTCAGATGTGCAAGGATTGTGCTGAGCCTTCAATATGGAGGCTCCATTGAAAATGCCTAGCAACAAAACCAAACATGAACAAGTGGGACCACATCAAGCTGAAAAGTGTCTGTTCAGCAAAGGAAACCATCACCAAAATAGAAAAGCAACTTATGGAATGGGAGAAAATATTAGCAAGCCACACGGCTGATAAGGGATTAACATTCAAAATATACAAGGTTCTGATACAACTTAATAGCAAAAAAGCCAAATAGTCCAATTTAAAAATGAGCAAGGGACCCAAATAGCTATTTTCCAAAGAAGACATAAAAAAAAGCCCAACAGGTACATGAAAAAGTGCTCATCATCACTCATCATCAGGGGAATGAGAACCAAAACCTCAATGAGATACCACTTCACACCTGTTAGGACGGCCATTATCAAAAAGACAAGAGATAAAAGCTGATGAGGGATGTGGAGAAAAGAAAACCCTTGTTTTGTAAATTGGTGCAGCCACTATGGAAAACAGTGTGGAGGTTCCTCAAAATATTAAAAACGGAACTACCATACGATCCAGGAATCCCAGTTCTGGGTATACATCCAAAGGAAGCAAAACCATTATCTTGAAGAAAATAATTACATATGTAACTACATATATAATTTATATTATTCAGGCTTCAAAAAAGATGAAATTCTGTCATTTGCACCAACATGGATGTCGCTGGAGGGCATTATGCTAAGTGAAACAAGCCAGAGAAGGCAAATACTGCATGATATCGCTTACTTAAAAAAAAAAAAAAAAAAAAAACTATAAAAAAAAAAAAAAAAACCCAAACAAAACCAATCCAGTTGAACTCACAGAAACAGAGAGTGGAAAAGTGGCTGCCAGGGGATGGGGGAATAAGAAAAGGTTGGTAACAGGTACAAACTTTCAGTTATAAAATGAATAAGGTCTGAGGATCTAATGTCTGACATGGTAACTACAGCGGATAGCACTATACTGCATTATTGAAATTTGCTAAGACAGGAGAACTTAAATGTTCTCAAACACACACACAAAAGGTACGTATATGAGGTGATGGATGTGTTAATTAACTTGATGGGGGGAATAATCCTTTCATAATGTAGAGGTATATCAAATCATCATTTTGTATACTTTGAATAGCTTCAAATTTTGTTAATTATACCTCTGTAAACCTGAAAACCCAAACAAAACAAAACAAAATGTCTGAGCCCCTGGGATGGGCACTAGGTCCTGGGCTCTGGGGGTGAGGCAGGAGTGCCTGGTGATGTCAGCCTCAGGAACACAGTTGGGCCCCAGGTTCAGGACTGTCTTGGCACAATTTTGGCTGTTACAAACAAGTACTCAGGTGATGCTTATAACTGCCTCCCACATTTCTCTTACGTCTTTGCCACTGAAATTTTTGCAGACACTGCCCTCTTCCAGCTTCTGGAGCTGGGGGCCCAGGACCTGAGGTCACCCAGGAAGGCCAAGAGGAATTATTCTGTACCCGCAGTCAGTGTTACATAAAGTCAAAACTGAGGCCCATTCTTTGTTACCTGCCAACGTAGGTTTCCCTCATCCTGTCAGGTGGATCGTGTTTTCATGTGTGCAGTCTTTGGATACCCAAACTTCTCTATCTTCAGCCTTTTTTTTTTTAGAACGTCCCCCCACTGTGCCTTCTTAATTATCTCCTTTGTATAAAGGACTTTAACTTTTCACTTATTCCTCCCTGTCCAGGGCTACCTTTGGCAGGTGGGGGGATGGGAGGGACTCTTTCTTTAAAACAGTACCATTTAATTTGTCTTAGCCTTTTGGGGGAGAGGACCCACCAGAGATGTTCCAGGCCAAGGGTGCTTTTTTCCTCAGCCAGGGTATATCGATCCCTCATCCCCTTGTCCAGGTATCTAACCCAGAAGTGTTCCTAGGGTTTAATTCCTATTCAGAAGTCATCTGGGCATGTTCAGTCAGCAAGACTAGCCAGCTCCATGTTGTAACTGCCTGATGAGCATCTTTTAGCATTCAGCCCAATTCTCAGAAAGCCAAACATCACTTGCCCCCCAACCCACCTCATTTTATCCAAGCACTGATAGTTTTATCGGTAAGCTCCAGGAACTTAATTTGGGAAGGATTTCTCTATGGTGCCACCTAACTGTATATTCCATAAAGTAACCGTCCTACAAGAAGTGTGGTAATAAAAGGGCTCATAACCAAATCTGTTTGGCAAGCCCTCACTCCATATTCACCTCTTAGAGATTTTGAAAAGCAAATCAGCATGTTACAGACTTTAAGTCTTGGAGTAAAGAAATCTACTTTATCCTTCTTTTAAATACAGCATTTCTCAAACATAACTTATCTCCCATTGTGTTTGTTTCATGAAAAACAACCACCTCCATAACAGCAAGAGTTTCATGGCCACCAGGCTAGGAGGCCTTGCTCATTTCTTCAACAGACATTATCAAGTGTCTCATATGTGACAAGCCCTAATAAGGAGTAGAAATGTACTAGGAACAGCACAGATAGTCCTGCCATTTCTTTTGGCTATGATGATAATCCTAAGAAATACAGATTTGTGTCCTCACTAAGAAGGGATAACAAGTCTCTGAGAGGTTAAGCGATTTGCTTAATGGTCAGATGTAGGTCTCACTGACTCCAAAATGAGTATTTTTATTTTTTTTAAGATTTTGTTTATTTATTTGAAAGAGACAGAGGATAGCAACAGAGATAGTGAGAGGGAACACACGCAGGGAGAAGGGGGAGAAGCTGGCTCCCCGCCGAGCCGGGAGCCCGAGGCAGGACTCGATCCCAGGACCCTGGGATCATGACCTGAGCCGAAGGCAGACGCTTAACCGACTGTGCCACCGAGGTGCCCCTCAAAATGAGTATTTTTAAAGTTGACGCTATATTGTCTACACTGTACTACTTTAAGCTCAGTGCTGGAATGATAACTGAGTTAGGAAATGTGATGAATCATTCAACAAATTCAGCCGACTCTCCTCTCCACCTTCCGAACACGCTGCCAAACCTCTTCCCTGGTCCTCACCTCTGCAGCCATTCTGTGCTCTCTGGTGTGCTCACCCCTCTTTGTTGCCACTCATTGAAATGCTACTCCCTCTGCACAGGCAGCTCAGGACCTGTCTAGCCAACAAGCTCTCCCTGACTACTCCGGTCTATGGGGAATTTCCCTCCCCTGAACTCGTGTCGCTCACCTAGTCTGTACCACTCACTGGACCCTTAGCGTATGTTTTGTATGGTTAGTGTACTCTTGAGGGTAAGTCTCCTATTTCCCCAATTAGTAAGCCTTTATTTTTTTTCCTTAAGGCTTGATTAAGCCTTTTCTTAGAGCTCTTGATTATCTCCCACTAAGTCTGGCAATATTCAAATCAGTGTTGCAAGACTAGCTGACTAAAAGGTTTTACAAATCTCTGCTCTAAACTCTAGCAACACACTGTGATTTCCTTCTGCTTTCTTCTCTCCCTCCATTCCCACCACAAAGGACAGATGGCCCATGAGTGAGATGTGATTCCCTCTATAGCATGACGGAACCCCAAGGGGACTGGAGTGACACAGTCTGCTATGAATACCCTTCACTGATCAGCTACTGGGTAAGCTTATACTCTAGACCAGTTTGACAAAACTCTCAAGGTCAACCCCTCCTCAACACTCTTTGTAAAAGAGCCAAGTACCATTTGGATATGCAGAAAAACTAGGTCCTAAGACCACAACATTGTTCTAATATGTCACGACTAAAGATAAACAAACAAACGCATTTCATGGTAGCATTCAAGGTGAAAAACTCGTTATAAAATTTTCTGGGGAATAAATTTTGCAGGAAGAAGTAGAATGTGAGTGTATGTGTGTGTGTGTACATACGTGTATATGTGTATTTATGTATACACATATATATGCAAAATAACGAAAATATACATTGCGTAGACATTTTTTCTTCGTTCACACACAAAGAGTTCATTTAGAACTGCAGTCCTTCCTACTTTGAAATAACTGAGTTAAAAATGACTTTCAATTTTGGCAGGGCATAGAAGCTATGGTTAACCTTAAAATATTCAAACATTCAGTATTCTTATAAGTATTTTGGCTCACCCTACAAATTCTTACAGGTCTCAAGTCAGGGCCACTTTTTAAGACTAAGTCCACAAGGAAGGCAAAAGAGCCCGGCCAAAGTCTGCCAGTCTGCTGGAGAGAGTCCAACTGGTATGGGATCAGTGTGAGTAAAAACAAATGTGGACTGATGCTGGGTTGCAAGATTTTCCTACTCAAGGGAGTGAACCACACAAAATGTCTGTTGCTGTTTATTAAATTGCTGTGCATATTTTCCTGGTTGTGTATATCAATCCGTCAATAATATCAAGGAGACAAAAATAAAGAGCCTCCATGATGACTGCATTCTCTGAGAACTGGTATTCTAAAAATTGAGACGGGCCTGGAACACAGGCATGCCCAGAAAGGAGAGAAGCTGCCGTGATTCCAGCACAAGATTTGGGGTTGGAGTTGGCACTCGCTCTTGGGGCTTATGATTTCTGTTAGTTATATGGCTTTGAAACTGCCCGAGCCCCAGTGTTTTCTATCAACATTGCATCATGCTCAAACAGGGATGATGCAACTTACTTTTATATACATTATTTCACTGAAATCCTTCAAACAATGCAGGGCAGTAGACGAAAATGTAAAACACAACAAAAGCACAGGTATTAATAGTATCTGGATGTCCATTCTAGAACAGGAATAGATTTCCTGCTATTATGGTTCTATAAAATCTATTGTTCTATAAAAAGGAATACGATTTCCCTGATATTTCAGAACATATGGGTCAACTGGAGTATGACAAGAGGAGTAGTAGCTGACAGCTGACACCTGCAGTCACACAGGAAGGAGGGTACAGGGCCCCCCTCCCCTCTCAGCCAAAGTACCACCTAATAACGAGGGAGGCAGAGGTCACTCAGAGCCTGCTCCCTGCAGGACCTGTCATGATGCAGGGGGTGCGGTCCTGAGAGAGGAGGGAGAGTGGGGCATCTGTCATCATTCCCCCCACCCCCCGCCCAACTTCACACAGCAGCAGGGACCAACACCCTCGGGTGGCCACTGCAGAAGCCAGCTGAGCAAGTCTCACTTGTATCCCTAGAGAGAGGAGGAGATGTGGTCATCGGAACCACACCCACACCAGGGACTTCCGATGCAGAACCGAGTGGGCCCCCACCACCGGGGACGTGAGGAAAGGAAAAACCCCAAGGACAACTGGACCAAGTGAGCCATAAGGTCCAAGCCAACTCTAAAACCTGTGACTCTGCAGTAGTCATTCCCACACCCACTCGAGTGGAGATTTTATCAAATGTAACAGCCGCCTAATGGAAATGGACACGAAAACCCATCGTCCTTCCCACTGGCCAGGCGCTGGAGCTGGAGACAAGTCACAGCCCGGGGACAGAGGGCAACGCGGGAACCAAGAATAACAGAGCGCAGGTGCTAGCTAGGGGCAAGCTTGGAGAAAGGAGCTGCTCACTCAGGGCTGGGTCCGAATATTAGACAGAGGGCTATGAAAACTCTATGTTTTGCATAGTTCCACAAAGGTGACAAGGGAATTTGGGCCACTTTCATATATTTTTCTTGCTAACCTAATATTCAGTAAAACGGGTGCCAGAAACACAAAACTTTCTAGGCTGTAGTGGCTACAGCTCCCCTTTAAGCTGACACAACTCTCATCAATTACTAACCCAAAGTTGAGCCAGAAGAGATGAAAAGGTGAAAACTGTTTCATCTTTCGCAGCAGCCAGATTTACTCTGATTTTAGAACACTTTTTTCCCGGTAGGTTATTACATTTTTCAGATTACTAGGATGTAGTAGTTTGCTTAGTTTTAAACACTAAATGGCACCCTCATTGCCTTGAAAAAAATCGATAGACACATCACAGTTATTCCCAGAGAAAAATTATGGAATATAAAAAGAATTTGGAATAGAAGAATCTGGGTTAACGTATCTTTAATTGGCTTTTAATAAGATTTCTTTTCATGAGCTCAAGCACTTAAGACAACTAAAAATTGTAACATTTCTCCTCAAACACTGTGTTTCTGTTAAAGTTACAGTGATTTTTCTCCAGGTCTCCCTTAGAAGAATGCGAGCTTTACCCACCATTTACCGGTTGCACCGCCGAATGACATCATCTCTCTAAGCCACAAATCCTGCCAGATTCCTGTAAATATATCACCTACCTCACATGTGTGTAAGGAGTAAAAAACTAGTACCTTCCATGCCCAGCCCCATGGATCTCAATCCTGGCTGTACTTCAGAACCACCTGGAACTTAAAAAAATATAATGATGGCCAGGCCTATGCCAGAGACTCCCCGTTCAGCTGGGGTAAGGTGAGGCCCAGACGTGGCTATTTTTAGAAGCTTCCTGGTTGAGAACAACTGGCTTAGAGTGACCGTAGAATAACCATAACGAATAAAGTGATTACTATCTTTCTCCATCTCTGTTTGGTAACAAGTATCAAGTAAACAGGTCACAGTGTAAGGGTTTTTTTTTTTTTTTTTAACTGTAATATAAATTTTATTGTTTTCTGTTCGATCTACCTCAGTGCATTTTTTAAAAAATAGCAAGTTTAAATGTTTGTCCTTCTTTTTTATCACCCCTGCCATGGGGTAAATCTTTCCCTATCCCTGCCGTGAGGGTATTGAGCCAGAGATGCTCACTTTGATTTTTCCATCTCAGCCAAGCTGAGATTCTGGGCCAACAACAGTCTAGAGGCTTCAGGGCCCTGAAGCCAACACTCAGTGAAATCCCTCACAGCCCCCATGGATGCACAGGGTTTCTATATTTAGAAAAATAAAATCCAAGATCTCGATGGTCACTGCAGAGCCTGGTTCTCCCTGCTTTGTCAAGGACCCTACAGAGAAAGGATGGGAAGAGTGCACGTGGATCATGGGCCTCCTCCCCCGCAGCCCTTCAGCAGCACACCCTCTCTGCCAAACGGTGGAGGGCAAAGAGAGAGGGGGTAGACAGAGACAGCCTTGCTTTTGCTAAATTCCTGCAAAGAGAGGATTCTTTCTGGGGCTTTATAACTGTTGCTGGAATCACTCTATGGTAAACCATGACACTTTTTTACCACGCAGGTAGAGCTTTCTAAATAAATTGAAAACCACTTCACCCCAAATGCACTCAAGTTAAAATCTGACCTGGGGGAGCGCCTGGGTGGCTCAGTCAGTTAAGCGGCTGCCTTTGGCTCAGGTCATGATCTCGCAGTCCTGGGATAGAGTCCCGTGTCAGGCTCCCTGCTTAGCAGGGGAGTCTGCTTCTCCCTCTCCCTCTGCCCCTCCCCCGGCTTGTGTGCTCGAAAACTCTCTCTCTCTCTCTCAAATAAATAAGTAAAAATTAAAAAAAAAAATAAAATCTTACCTGGAAAGATGCTCAGTCCTCGGTTTACTTCTAAGCTAAGGGTCAGGGTTCGAGCGGTGATGCTAAAAATTTGTCGTGGTGCAAAGTTCAAACCATCAGTAACCTGAAAATTAAAGCCTCCTGACATGGCTCCTTCAAAAGAAGAATTACATTCTGGTCACTTTGGCTATTCAGCAAAAGCCACCCACTTTCACCCTCTCTCCCGCAAATCAACCCCTATCAACTGGAGGATGTGTTAATAGAGTCACTGAACTCACCAAACCAAATATTGCCAAAATGTGAAGTTAAAAGAACATTAATAAAGGTTAAAATGCATATTTCCCCCTCCCCTTTCCCCCTTCCCCTTACCCCCCTCCCTGTGACCTAACAAAAGAAAGCAAAGGTGTTACCTCTAAGAAATTTTAAAAAATCTTTTAAAACATATTCAACACCTGCATTTTCTTCCTTTGGATTGCACACATGTCGGATGCACGTGTACACACACACACACACCCACACACACACACACACAAGCAATTCCTGAAATATTGATAATGCTGACTTAATAATGCCGAAAATCAAAACTAGGGGGAAGTAAAAACACTTAGCTCCTCCCTCCAAATAATTTCTAATTATTCACTGATCTCGAACTAGCTGTTTTCTGCTAAGGTAGTAAAGAGTGGGGAAAGATCCAGGTCAGCTTTTGTTAAATTCCTGCAGGAAGAGAACTGTACTCCCACACTGCTGTCAAAGGATTAGTGATATCAATAAAGTTATAAAATAACTTATGTGTGTCAGAGAAATTGAGACAGGCCCCCTATGGCTCCCGTCCCCAGGAGTGCTTTCCCAGTCTGACTCACAAAGCACCAGGCGAGCTCACGATGTAGAGCCTGATGTTCGTATTCCCATCACCCTTTGAAAATGTTCAGCCAGCAGTAAATCTGGAGGCCCACATGTCTTTGCATCATGTAATGGGTAGAAATGTTCTCTTTGTTGCCCTCAGGGACATGTGGCAAGGAACAAAGAAGGCAGGGTCAGACTCCGCAATTACGTACAAGTACTCCCTTAATAACACAATTTAATAAACGGCTGGCTGACGGCTTGACAGCCTCTTGAGATTCTGTTATCTATGCACACCCAGAGTTCCCCGAGTCCTCACGAAAAAGGGTTACAGACTTTTAAAAATTTCCCAATACACTCAAGAGTCATCGTTTTTAAAAAGAGAGAGAGAAAATTCTGAGTCTGCTTAATTTCGAACAGGGGCCCACAATCAAATTTTGTTTGCTTGCTTGTTTGCTTGTTTTTACTAGAAATAGCACTCTGAAGTTGCATTTAATGAAACATGAAATGAGGAAGAGAATACTTTCTGCCACCAGGCACTTTCCACATTTCATGAATCCAGAAACAACGTGGAAACGGAATCAAAAGGAATCCTATCAAAATACATACTAGAATAGTGTCCTGGGAATACCCTAACTTATAACACTATGACCAAAGAGCGGAAAGCAGGGAAACATGAAAGGAGGGGCGACCTGTAGATTTTCTGTTGCACAACCTCAGATCTTTCCGACAGTACTTTGCAAAGGGCGGCCTTAAATCACACAGCCTCCCCCATCTTGGCTTTATCAACCTACTTAGGTTGTCATGTGAAAAATGAATTAGATTAGTGGTAGAGCACTTTGCAAATATAAATGCTAAGAGAGACTAATTAAACCTAAGCCTTTGTTTGGGGCTGATAATGGACAGATGTAGCAGGAGAACCAGCTGGTCTCAGCAACAGCCTCGTCTGCGCAGGGCTCCAGTCCCTTTGCGGGCCATTACTGCCTCCGCAGCCATTTAGAGAATGTAATGGATTGATTCTCAAAGAGCTTGCCTCTAACTCTCCTTCCTGCTTTTTTTTTTTTTTTTTTTTTTTAGGAGAAATTATTTCCTCTACCAGCCAAAAGTGAACATGGATCTGGTTGTTGACAAATAAATAAATCCAGAGAGCCAATTATCATTTTAGTCCTGCAAATAGTAAGTGCAATTCTTTAACCTGCTCTGTCCTTCAGTGGGTGGCAGCCAGCGGAGAAAGCCCAGCTTCAAGGTCAGCTTAGCTTACATCGTTCTGAGCCTCAGTTTCTTCATCTCTAAAATGGGGTCAATACTCCACATGGCTCAGAGGACTTGTGCAGAGTAAATGAAATGGGTCATGTGACCGCACCTCCTGTGATGTCAGTGTGGGCCAGAGACTCAAGGATTCCTTTTCCTGGCCAACTGCATCGTTGTAGAAATCCGAAACTTCCCTTGGGGGAGTGACCAGAGTGGTTCTCTCCATTTTGAAAATATAATCCTTTCAAAAAAATAACCTTTCTAGGCCTTCATCTAATAATACTTGGATTGTTGGTATCTAATAATCAAAACCTCACAAAATTTGGAGGAAATTTCCTATTACTTCAGTACCTCTTTAAATGAATCATATTTTATTAATCGGCACATCTGTACACATTTTAAAAATGAGAACATCCATACGTGGAAAAGATCATCCGGTCTAGAATCAAGGCTTTGGTACATATGTGAGTAGATTTAGTATCTTGTTGCAATAAAATTAACCCCCTAGGTCCCCAGGTTACGGGTTTGGAACTACTAGTGGAGAGCATTCACATAGTAAATTATTTTCAGATTATTTGGGGATTCTTTGTATTAACTGCAGAGATAATCAGGAAAATACTACATTTGAATTTAGAAGATTTTTTTATCTTTATTTTCTTGACTATATTTTCAAAGAAGTTAATAAAAATGGCTGACCAGCTATGACTGGTAGCTTTCCCATCATGCCCCCTGGCTCATGCACGCCCAACCCCCATTCACTCAGCAGCATGGGAGTGGGCTCCTTCCCCTCTCCGTCCAGTGACAGGGGCAACCTGGAAACAAAGCCAGACTGGATCACCCCTTCCTCAGATTTATAGGAGCTATTTGGCTTACTGATTAACAGAAGGAAGAAAACAAGCCTTTTAATGTCCGAGGCTCTTGGAATTACAGCTATATTCATTCATTAGTTTATCCATGTGTTCATTTATTTTACAAATATGTTTGTTTTGTTCACTAAAGTATCCCTAGCATCTGGAACATGACCTGGAACATAAAAGGTATTCAATATTATTTCATTCTTTCAACACATTTTTATTAAGCACCTACTTGTTCTCATCACTCTTTGAGGTGCTGAGGATCTCAGAGCAAACAAAACAAAGATCCTGCTCTTCTACCCTCTAGCGCGGAAGACAGACAACAAACAAACAAAGCAATCTATGCTACAATGGCAGGAAGTCAGTAAGGGATGGAGAGGGACCAAGTAGAGATGCTATTTTAATGGGTGGTCCGGGAAAGACTCTCTGGGAACGTTATATTTGAGCATAGACCTTACATGACCATGTGAGTAAGCCATGTGTGAGTTATAGGTGCTCTCTGGTGTTTGCTATCATTAGCCTTACGACAACGTGCCACTTAAAAAAAATTACAGACCCCAGAAAGTTTTTAGATGGCTTGTGGTTTTCAGGCAGCAACTACTAGGTTTGACCATCATGTTAACCTCTGATTCAAACACATTTTAGTTTCGCATTACTTTTCTTTATGACATACCAGTGTGTACAAACACTAGCTGGCCCTTGTTGATTTGAGCCTGGGTGAAGTTCTGGATGCTTCGGCCAGGAAAGGACTGGAGAGCCAAATGCCCGTTGCTGGGTGGAGTGACCCAGTAGGTGAGGTCCTGCGGGGAGGAGTCCTCATCTTCCGCACAGAGGTCACCCCTGGTAATCTCAGTGACAGAATTTGCCCACACCTTAAAAACAAGAGAAGCACAGATCTTGCAAAGACCAATTCCAATCATGACACATAAGTAAACTGGAGAGCTATGCTACTCTGGCCTCTTGCACAAAGATTTAGAAACTAAAGCAATTCACTAGAGCTTTTAAAGCATGAAGATTCTTTTTTTTTTTTTTAAGATTTTATTTATTTATTTAAGAGAGAGAGAGAGAGCATGAGCACAGGGAGAAGCAGACACCCCGCTGAGCAGGGAGCTTGACGTGGGGCTTGATCCCAGGACCCTGGGATCATGACCTGAGCCGAAGGCAGATGCTCAACTGACTGAGCCACCCAGGCATCCCTAAAGCATGAAGATTCTTAATTCAAAACAGACATATAATTAAATACCAGATGAAATTCAGGGCATGCTATAGTGTTTGTTTAATTTGTGAGGTTTATAAGGTCCCCCCCAAAATAGTATTCATAATTATTTATTCAAAATTAATTATTTAAAGTGAATACTTATATAAAGTATAATAACAATAAAAGCTGATGGTAACTAAGCACCTTCTGTATGCCTGGCATGTGCTAAATATGGAAGCATAGGCTAAGATTCTACATGGAATCTCAGATCATCATAGAACCTACTCACAGGGCTGATTTAAGGATTTCTAGTCATCATTTTAAGAAGTGAATGATTTCATCAGCTCTTAAATATTTGAGGGAAAACACATGTTGTGTATTTTAAGAATTTTCCTTTATTTTACCTGTCTTGCAGGAAAACACATATCTGGTGCCTATGTCCTTGCAATGTCTGCTGTGCTGATAGCTCATCTACAATTATTTCTGAGTAATAGTCTCTATTTTGCAATTACATTTAAAATCTATTTACCTTGCTTAAATATCCTAGTTCCACAATTCATCATTTATTGAGCATCTACTATGTTCCAGGCAACGTTCTGGGTGCCTGCAATCCATCAGTGAACAAAACAGAGTCCTGTCCTCATGGAGCCTACCTTCGGGCAGGAGGGGATGAAGGAGTACAGGGAACAAACAACAGGCATAGTAAAGAAATGAACTATACAGTCTGTTAGAAGTTCACGGGCACTATGAAAAAAATGTAAAATAAAGCTAAATAAGGGGCTCAGGGGGTGGGAGAATGTTAAATCAGAGGCTCATTTGAGAAAAACTGGAAGGAGGTGAAGGAGGAGCCACATGGCTATCTAGGGAAAGAACATGCAGGCAGAGGGAACAGCCCTAAGGTGGGAGCAAGCGTCATCCGTTTGAGGAGCAGCAGGGAGGTCAGTATGGCGGGAGCAGTGAGATGAGGAAGGCAAGAAGATGAGTCAAAAATGTAATGGAAGGCCCAATCCTGCAGGGTCTTGACAGCCATTGTATTTGTAAGAACTTGGGCTTTTACTTGAGTGCAATGGGGAAGAATCATAGGGCTTTAGGTGAGGAGTAACTTGGTCTTAACAGAACCCTGTGGCTTCTGTGTCAAGAACAGACCATGGGAAGGCAGCGGTAGAAGCAGGGAGACCCGTTAGGAAATGACTGCCATAATCCTGGAGAGAGATGAGAGAAGAGAGTGGCCGGAAGTTGTTGAGGTGGTAAGAAGGGGTCAAATTCTGGGTGTGTTTTGAAGGGAAAGCCAACAGGCTGTCTGGCGAATCAGACATGGTGAGGTGTGGAAGAAGGAAAGGTGGAGGAATGACTCCATGGTTGGGACCTCAACACCTAGAAGGACGGAGTTATCATCAACTGAAATGAGGAGAGCGGCAGAGGGAGTGGATTCGGGAAGTAAGATCAGGAGCTCAGTTGTGAACTTGTTGAGCTGAAAAACGCATATTTAGACATTGAATCCCATTTGAAGGAAGGAGGCTGTTTTGAGTTTCTATAATCATGCAGTCACATGGTATTTGACGAGCACTAAAAATGGGTGGCATTATCACTAACTAAATTTTCACATTTCTATCTGTATTTATAAATGTCTTCCCTATAGAAACACCATGCATATTTTCAAGCTTATGTCATTCTTTGCTCTCTGACTAGAACCTTATCATCTTCTATGCTTGTTACCAACTTGTTTAAAAATTCAATCCTAAGTGATTTAATAGATATCTTTCTGGTCTAAGAGGCTGTTTTCCTTAGTAGCACAAGGAGTTAATGAAATATCTTAATTCATGCTCACTCATTATCTAATAACTATTTAAACAGAATCTGAGAAAGGAATATCAGAAAATATATAAGATAGGATCCTACATTTTCATATGAGGCATGATATGCCT